GCATTACCTACAGCACACAAATTACATTAGATATTAGTACATATAAAAAAAGAAATAAAACAATACATATACAAAAAAAAAAACAAAAGAAATGTACATAAAAGAAGAAACATATTTTCCATTTCGTGATTGTGCACACAGTAACACAAAATGGTCACAACTCACTACTGCTTTGCCCTCAAAAGAGCAAAACACATTTTCACTTCAATTTTATCCATCAAACGCAGAAACTGAATTTAAAAAAACTATACCTATGTCAAATACCTCAAGAGTTTGTTATGCCATATTATTGTTTATTTGTTAATTAACACGCTGTGTTCCCTTTAAAATGATTGTACGCTAAGTGTAAATAGACAGTAATTTCAGTATTAAATCTTATCAGTGTAACAATTGCTAGGAGACCAAATAAAGATAAAAATAAAATAAAAAAAACCTTAAAAAAATATTGCTACGACTAGTATTATCTATAAACCTCGATGTAGCTAATTCGGTAAGATTAATAGAGGAATCGTGTTATTGCGTGATAAATAGTTAATTTGTTACATTGTTAATTTGTCTTGTGCAAAATATCGTAACAACCTCTTTGAAAGGATGATCTGTAGATATCTGGCTTCAACATTGGACATCGTTCGAATATTTTGCAAACAAACTTTATCAGCTTCGTGTAACTTTTATAGTGCAGATTTTTTTTTACTATTAAAAGGTCCTACAGTTGTTCACGATATCACCTAATGGAAAGCGATGATAAAGTCTAAGATGGAGCTCGCGGACCCACGAATATTTACATTTGCCTTAAATTGGTGTAGATTATATTTGGATGGTAAAACACAAGCAGGGAGAGTTCCACTTCTTGGCCGTACGCATGATGAAGGCAGGCGCAAAGCGCTTCGTGCAGAATCGTCAATAGTAGCACAAGAGTGTTAGTCAAAATTTATATTTTGTTTAATGCCTCCATATTAATTTTTAACAAGACAATATATTTCGAACTATGTACCATCTTTGTAACTATTAGGAGTACAAATAAGTTTCCGCCGTTTTTTAACACAAATTAAATATTTATTATAGAAGAACGGTAATATAGATTTATATAAAATATTGCCCATCACTTGCAACCACTTTTTCCCATCTCTCAGGCAGCATTCGAATTCCACGTCTGAAGAACTCCTTGTCTTTTGAGGCTATCCACGAATCAACCCAATTTTTGGTATCCTCATAAGATGTAAACCGCTGCGTCGTCAGAGCATGTGCCATGGACCGAAACAGGTGATAATCGGACGGTGCAATGTCTGGTGAATACGGCGGGTAGGGTAACACTTCCCAATCAAGTGTTTCCAAGTACTTTTTTACGGGAGCCGCAACATGTGGACGAGCATTGTCATGCAGAAGAATAATTTTTTCGTGTCTAGAATAGTATTGAGGGAGTTTTTCTATCAGAGCTCGGCTCAATCTCATCAATTGTGTTCGATAGAGGGCTCCAGTAATTGTTTCGCTCGGATTAAGCAACTCATAATACACTACACCTAGCTGATCCCACCAAATACACAGCATAAGTTTTTTTCCGTGAATATTCGGTTTTGCTGTTGATGTTGACGCGTGGCCATGTAATCCCAATGATTTTTTTCTTTTTGGATTGTCATAATGTATCCACTTCTCATCACCAGTTACGATACGATGTAAAAAACCCTCTTTTTATGTCTAGCTAGCAGCATTTCACTTAAGCATAATCGGCGTTCAATATCTCTCGGCTTTAATTCGTACGGAACCCAATTTCCTTGTTTATGAATCATTCCTATATGATTTTAAACGATGTGAGACTGCTTGCTGAGTGACTTCTAATGTTAGAGCAAGTTCTTTTTGTGTTTGAGATGAATCCTCCTCCAATAATTCCTCCAATTCTGCATCCTCGTAAATTTTTGGCCTTCCACTGCGATCTTTGTCTTCTACGTCGAATCACCGTTTTTAAACTTTTGAAACCACTCTCGACACGTTCTCTCACTCAAAGCACCCTCACCATATGCTTCTACGAGCAATTGATGCGCCTTAGCAGCAATTTCTTTAAATTAAAGAAGTAAATTAATTTTCCCGCAAATGACGCTTATTTGGCTCAAATTTTGACATTTTCAAGTTATAAAAATTATATTTTACCAATATCAAATCAATAATATTAATAGGTTATGTTGGTCTTGAATGTCGAATACTATTTTTGGATGGTAAAACCGGTTATCATCTGCGAAAGCTAACCGAAACTCCGTGCCGCGCCATCCACAATAAAACGGCGGAAACTTATTTGTACTCCTAATAGTATATTCAGCAAATAATGCACTTAAATGACTGTTTTATGTAGTTATTTAACGATTTAGACATATTGAAAATAAATTACAAATATTAAATTTATTTTTAATATGCCAATTACCTTATCGTAATATCTATGGACATGATTCGATTGTTTTTTGTTTCTACATTTTACGACCATTCGCCGACTCGACAGTGATTTTCTAATTGTTTTCAAAGTTTATAGGAATCCCACACGAATTTAGTCACAAATACAAGTCTCAAATTCAAGTTTTTATAAAAAAAAAATAGTAAATAATAATAAAACTTTATAAATGATTTTTAAAATTAGAATTATTGCTTGAACTACCTATAATCAGATAGATCTAATATGTAAGTATGCATAAAATGTATAACAAACATTGTTAAAGCAAATTGCTCATATGTATGTTTGTTTGTAACACTTTCTTGTATAGTAAAGTCTTAAATTATAGAATATAGAGTTCTTAAGGAAATAATGAATACAATAGTGAACTTATTTTATAAAAGGAATTTCTTCCAATCAATTTTGAATGACGCAGAAATTAAATTGTGCATTGGTGGTGATATGGACAAAAAAAAATGTTAATTAAAAAAAATATAAAAAAAAAATTGTTACAATTACCATACGAGCACAACATTAATACTGGACAAAATAACGTATCTAAAGAATTCCTAATACATCTAAAAAAATTATATCTCTATACATAACATAATATAAAAATACTAGTAACCAATATGTATGATAAAATTTAGAATAGATTTTAAACATTCAACTCTTTCTTTCACAAAGTATGTTATTTAAGCTGTGTAATATAATCTATACTGTATGGTCCCTGCATAGAATAGTCCACCCCTTCCTTTCCCGTGGGTGTCGTAAGAGGCGACTAAAGGAGCTTAACGGTTCAAAGATGGGTAGCAGCGTCCCTCTTAAAACATCACAAAACTTAACTGCGGTTGCCATCCGGCTTGCCAAACGTGGCAAGCGTAGCAATTACTGGTAGAACTTCTCTTATGGAGAAGACCTATGTTCAGCATTGAATAATTAACGACTGATATATTAATATAATAAATAAATAAATAAATATACATATACTTTATGATATAACACAAAATTTAAGTTTTATCTTACAAGAGTATATATATATATATATATATATATATATATATATATATATATATTAGGAGTCTTAGTAAGAGTAATAGAATTCGAAGCAATGTTTTTTTTTTTAATTTTTGTATGTTTATTTCGACATCACTCTAACACTGCTGCACCAAATTGAATACGGTTTTTTCATTATGTTCATGAAGGTCTAACTTAAAAACTGAAATACATTTTATCCTTAAATTATATAGATAATCTCCATACAAATGCTTCGAAAAAAGCGGGTCAACTTTTTTATACAATTTTGCGTGACATATAGTTATGAGTGATTCCTTTATAACTTATATATATTTATTTGTTTTATAATTTTTACATCGTTTTAGCGCGTAAAAACTCATGTTATTTGTGAAATAATTAAATATAAATACATCAAGATATATTGTGTGATAAAGAAACGAATCAGCTAATTTGACAATTAGCTAAAAAAAACTGAGTTAAAAAATTGTTTTTCTTAGTATTTGATATGGTCTCTGGAAGTAGTCCGTTTCATTCGCTTTCCGTTTCCTACTTCTGAAATCCATGTGAAGTAATAGACAAAAATCTAATAAAAAATAAACACACAGAGTACACAAGACTCAGAAAGTACATAAACTAGTACCTCGATAATGTAATCGATCTAGAAGTATAGCGTTAATTTGCAAAAATCTCGTGCCCAATTAGCTGGTGAACGTTATTCCTTCGATATTGGGTCAACATTGTCCAAACGCCTCGTGCGATGAACTATGAGAATTATCGGGTGCGTTTCGCAACGTACGTAAATTACTGGGCGATAGATCCGATCTACAGTAAATTAGGAGGACGATAAAGTCTAATGATTTTGGCGGGAAACCACAGACTATATACAAACTTGTTACCGGCTGAGAATCTTTTTTTAAACCATAAACTATTATATTATAAAAAAAAGACCTATGGTCAGATAGAGAATATTTTTAAATAAAAATAAAATTCAAAATTAGAATAATTATATTGATAATTATGAAAAAACAGAGGCATTATTATAATTATGTTTTGACAGTAATACTTTTTTTAAATTATCGTCATAAAATTAATAAAATAAACCTATGGGAGAGTGAATACATAATGTTACGTGAATTTCAAATTTGACTACATTCTTAATAAAAATCTCTATTAGCTTCAACGAAAAACATATACTTACAGAAATACTTGATCAAAAATATTTATAATACAAAGATTAAAGTTATTTTCTTAGCAACACATTATGCTTGCCATTCTGGTTTAAACACTGTTCACACATCACAAATTTATCTAATCTATCTAAATTAATCTATTTTATAATTCTATACCTTCATGTTCCTACACGTGTAATTTATAAAACCGCGAGAATCAATATTAGAGCAAGTTAGTGTTAGTCATAGACTTACAACAGGTTAGTATTAGTCATATGAGAGTTGGGCCATCATTTTAAAGAACTATCTAATAAAACGAGCTAATTCCGGCCGGTTGCAGCTGAAAAAAAAAATGTTGCCTGCCAAAAAGAAAATAAATTTCCCGACAATAGACTCACGTGTCTTAGAATAAAGGGAAAGAATCCAGTCGGTGGCGGTGGTTTACACATAATTTAATGCACGCTTTTTATTTTGTCATTAACCTTCGAGGTGCTCCGGTTTCGAATCGGCAACGTTTTATTTTTGAAACACGGTTACGCGCCGCGGTGATTAGCGGCTAAACGTTTAACACGTTCAGAAAACGCCATTTGTCTGGACGCACTCACTGGCTGGTAGTCACGTGTGTACCATTACTAACGCCGGCACCGCTCCGCGTCGCCGAACAACTTCGATAACACTGGCCGCTACGGCGGCCGCAAAAAAAAAGTACAACAAAAAAAAGTTTATGTCAAAAAACGAAAACCGTTCCGCGATCCTTTTTCAAAACGTGTAACTCGTTTCGGCGGGAGCAGCTCGCGGGGGCGGGCGCGAGCGGCGCGCCGAAACGTTCGCGTCGACTGGCCGGCCTCACTGAAAAAGCTCCTTACGTTAAATACATACAGGGCCGATGTCGATGTGCATTCTATTTATAATGTTAAGTTGGACGTGCGGCACGCGCGTGCACCGCCCGCACGCCAGCACGCGTCCACTGCCTACATTATCATCATAATATGTGAAGTTATTAGGTCAGCTGATGAAACGCGTTGCGGCACCGGCCCACTGTATACATCCTACTGTAACAACGATCTCCCTCGCCGCCGTATGTCCGTCGGCGGTTGCATGCACCTTAAATTTATAATATCTTACACCTCGTTGTTTGGTAATAATATTAAACAATCCGTTCCGTTGTATGCAGGGGTTACAACATTGGAAGGGCTCCAACAGTAATACACATCGTGCGTTTACGACGGTCGCACCCAGACGCGAGACGCTGAGCACTCATCAAACGAGATCTCTTTTTATTTTCTCAGATAACATATTTCATTACTGTACAAACTATAAAAGAACGATAAATATTGAGTTCGACATTATATAGATTTATCTCGCCATTCCGCGTACAAATAAATCTCGTATGTTTTTATATTCAGAGAGGCGGCCTGTCAAAATTCTTCTTTAAAAGCCCGTCAACGTCGCCGCTGTCATAACTTATCAGACTGACATCAGGGGCTGACAGCTGTGACGTAACGTGTACACAAAATTAACAATATTGTATTTATTTTCATTAATCTTGAAAATTAAAGTAAACTGACACTTTAATTGCTAGTTTCGCCGAGTTAAATTTTGACAAATTTTAATTTATAAAAGCAGTAACACTAGAGAAAAAAAAAGAAAATAACGCCAGGTGCCTCTCGAGTTGATTTGTTATTTTTATAAATAGAGGAATATGATACCTCGGTTTTTTGTAGAAAATTAATATGTTCACGACTCTAATAGCAAATGGAATTCGTTAGATGTATTTACCAACTGTTACGGTTATAATTAATGTAAATTTTTTATTGTATCCATATAGTTACAGTAGTATCATGAATTATATAATTAATATTTATTTATTTACACTTTATTGCACCATTTATAAAATAGTAAATAAATTTAACTGTAATAAAAAATGATACAAAAGGCGGCCTTATCGCTAAGCAATCTCTTCCTTTGGGTAGAGAACATTGAGAAAATATATATAATATTTACCTAGTTTTGTGAACACTTTTTTAATAATTCTATTTTAGTATTCTTATGTTGTCACTTGTATGTATTTTTTTTTTTTATTGTTCTATTAATGCCAATTTTATTAATTTGAAATCGATGTCTTAAGAAAATGTTGTGTGCATCTGTAAATGGTGGAAGATGCAAGCCCTGTATATCAATTAAAATTAATATTTGTGTTTACACTATTAATTTACATTTTAAAATAAATAAATAAATACTTCTGCCATTTAATTCTATCGCAATATAGACAATGGAACACAGTGGACTTTTTTCTCCGTTTGTTAGGAGAAGTAAGGAGTTGTGAGGAGAAATACATACGTGAAAGAAGTGAATAAACAAAAAGTTCATTTAGTCCTACTTTACAAGCATAATGAATTTATTTAATTCTACGAATTTAATAGGACTATTGCCACATCGAAACTGTATAATTCCAACGTGACTTAACTACTTTATTAACAGCGTTGCCATTCCTGAGGACTCAGGTGTTATTCCTCTGTATCCTGTAAATTCACTGACATATCCCACCCTTCAAACCGAAACACAGCCATGCAAACACAACTGCTTCACGGTTGAAACACGAATAGGACAGAGGTACCCAAGCAAACGACTTTTGTACAAAATCTCCCTCTGGTAAACTCTTAATAATTTAATAATAAGCGCTCTTTAGTTTATTAATGAATATATTTATTTAGATGACTAATTGATTTATTGACAAATATTTTTTTTACAAAAATAACTTAGTATATATAAATAGTGACACCATTCTATCTGTCAGTTTGTAAATTACCGTGGTCGGATTATAAATAGAGCGTGGAACTTTTGTCAGTGGACAGATATTAGTTGTAATCATTTTTATACTAATATTTTATGTATTATGATTTTGTGCCACCAAAAAAAAATACTATCTTCGATCAATAATTTTGGTTTTAAAACTAAACTTCTGAACGGATTTTGATAAAAATTGTAGTCCCTGATTTGGTAGCAAGAAGTTTTTTCAACCTCTCTTAGTTTAGTTTGACTGGAAAAGATCTCTTTTTTAAATAAATTCATCTTTGCATACATTGTTTCTAATTGTTATTATTAATGTATATTTTTGCCATGTGTGCCCTGGCATAAAATAGACCACCCCTTCCTTTCCCGTGAGTGTCGTAAGAGACGACTAAGGGAGGGCGAGAGATGGGCAGCATCGCTCTAAAACATCCTTAAAGGCCAATCCAAAAGGCCTGCGGTTGCCAATCCGCCTGGCAAGCGAGGCAACTATTAGCAAAATTCCCCTTATGGGGAAGGCTTATGTCCAGCAGTGGGCAGTTAATGGCTGAAATATTAATAATAACTGTATATTTTAGCACAATTAAATAATTAATTAAATATTTCCATTTTCAATTTTTTTTTTTTTTTTTTTGGTGAGTCATCATCAAATCAAAGTACTGTATTTAATTAATAAAATTAATGGAACAAGCAGGTAGCACTGTTTTTTTCACAAACCAAGTAAATTACATTATATTTACTAATATTATAAACTAGCTGACCCCGCAAGCTTCGTACCGCCTAACAGTCGATTCTGGTGTGGGAGGAAAGGCATTGTTAGCAATGGAGTTTGACAGCCCCATTGCTAGCAATATGCCCTATTAGGTCAACCTCCACATGGTTCCCCCTGGAAACCATCGTGAACAATTCTTGTTGAATTCGTCACGATGGGCTAACTGACCTGCTTCATCCTCTCCTATCATCCTTCTGGTTCCCCGCCCGTGTATACCGATAGCGCGGGTAGGGTTACCATTCCGTTATCACCCATTAAAAAAAAAACAGTCGATTCCTTATTTTTTTAGTTTTTTTAATACTTATTCTGTTATTCGGAACGCCGGGTCAGATAGTAAGATAAGAGGAGTCAACAATTACGTTATGTCCAAAAACAAAAATTATAAAACACGCCGTGCTCAATTGTTTTGCCTTCCCGGAACCTCTCCACCGACACTTGAACTTTATGGTATGATATAACTTTATGGTATTATATTAAAATTCAAATTGATTTTTAAGTATTTATACGAATCGTTTGTGTGGGAGTATAGAAAAGTGTTGTTTTTAGACCTTTACAGGCATTTTTTTAATTTTTCTCTCCGTAAGAACCGTTCTCGTATTTCAAAAAATATTTTAAAATAATTAGCGAAATCGGTTCAGCTGTTGTCGAGATTTGCGCTTAGCAACTTTATACAATTTAGAATGGCAAACAAGCGGCGGCCCACCTGATGGAAAGTGGTAACCGTCGCCTATAAACATGAGCCGTACTATGGACATAACAGAGTATACTGTTTCACCCATGATACCCCCATGCGTTGCCATTCCTGAGGACTCAGGTGTTATTCCTCTGTAACTTGTAAATTCACGCCATATCCCACCCTTCAAACCAAAACACAGCCATGCAAACACAACTGTTTCACGGTAGAAACACGAATGGGATAGATATATTATATTATAGATATGAAAGTGAGTTTGTTTGTTCGTTATCTTATAGAGTATTAGCGGCTTAACCAAACACTGTGAAATATGGTATACACGTAATATATGGGTTGGAGTATAGATATGTTACTTTTATCTCGGTCAGTAAAAATATCCCAGTCAAGCGGAAAAAGTCGCGGGTAAATGTTAGTATGTACATGTAACTTTATCATCGCATCCCCCTCCCCCCAGCTTTCAGTACAGTTTATTCCGTCGCCTATAGACATGAGCAGTACCATGGACATAACACTGTTTCCCCCCATGCGTTGCCATTCCTGAGGACTTAGGTATTATTCCTCTGTACCCTGTAAATTCACGCCATATCCCACCCTTCAAACCGAAACACAGCCATGCAAACACAACTGCTTCACGGTTGAAACACGAATGGGACAGAGGTACCCAAGCAATCGACTTTTGTACAAAGTCTCCCTCTGGTGATCAAAACAATCAAATTGAGAAAGAACCTACTCCATTTAAAGTCGGAAAAGGTTTCATCGGCCAATTGGATACAGGTATAGATGTAATCACAATTCCATAAAGAAACCGACGGATGGATAGAAGGATAGCGTTAACTGGTAAATGATTAGCTGCTAACGTGAATGTAATTTTGATCCGCGACCAATACAAGCAATCACTTAGCCCCCGGGCGAGTGATTGCTGCGTGACCTAACTATACTGCGATGGCAGCGTGCCGATCTCGCTACTTGATTGGCCTCACTATTATCCATCACGCCATTATAATAGTCGCGTTACGTAATGACCATATTCATGTGAATAAAAACAAAACTTTATCGCTTCTATCTATCTATCTATTCTATTTAAGAGCTGACTCTTGTCGGTGGAGCTCTTGCCACTCGCTACGATTTTCAGCGAGTCTCTTCGCCTCTTGATACGACACGACACCAACTCCTTCCTTGATCTGCCTGATGTAACAATGTCTCGGTCTCCCTCTCCCCCTCCTTCCTTCTATCTTACCTTCTATTAAAATGTTCATAAGTGCGTCGTGTCGTATCAAGTGCCCCAACATTTTTCCCCTTCTGTCCTCAATAGTTCTAATAATTTGTCTTTTTTCCTTAACCCTAAGCAGGACCTCCTCATTGCTAATTCGATCCCTCCAGCTAATTTTCTCCATCCTTCTCCAGCACAAAAAAAATCATGTCAAATTTCTAGCTTTGACTTCTATAAGACAGGCTTTGCCTAGTGTCATAGTTATATTGTACCATAGGCTAACTTTGTTTAAAGAAATAAAGTTTGTTGTTATTATTATAAATAAATTTATATACTATCAGCGTGTGACAAATGGAGTAAGAAAGTGACAAGATGGTATCCAAGGAAAGGCAAATGGAA